CCCCCCCCCCCCCCCCTCGAGCGCTGGCCAAGGGGCAATACAAGGCATGGACGTGGTGAATCAAGGATGGATAGATGCCATGTGTGTTCCACCACTCCCATCTTCTCGGATGATGTGCCTCCGGGAGCGCCCGCAACATCCACCATCCCTGTAGAAATAATCGCCAGCCCTTCAGCCGCTTTGCCTTAGCGGACTGGGGTGGCGGACAAGGCGGGTCAGCCGACGAACAGACCGACAGACCGACAGACGGACAGGTAGACAGACAGACAGACAGACAGACAGACAGACAGACAGTCAGACAGACAGGCAGACAGACAGACAGACCAAAATGGAAGATAAACGTTCGGACAACAACCATGCACAAGGACCGAGAGGCAGGCAAGGAAGGCCGAACAGGCAGCACATCGGAGCATTCAGAAGATCGACTAGCTAGGGGAATTCGGTTATGTGGCGGAATGGCCAGTCTGGCTTCAAAACTCAAAACTTGTGCCACGTGGTGACTTGGCACGCCTGGGGTAGGCCCATGAACTACCTCATTGGTTAGGCAACGGTTTCATCTAAAGGCTTTTCGGAACCTGTCCAGTATTACCAAGGCATCGCCGCTGAAGACGGGCCGGATGGACCCCCTCGTGCCAATGAACAGGGCCGACTGCCCGGCGATGGTGAACTTCTTCTCCGCCGGCTTCCGTCCCGCAGAGGACGGCTTGCCGCCATCGACATTCTCGCTGCCGTCGTCTTCCTCTTGTTCATCATCCTCGTCAATGTAGTCAATCACCAGCCTTTTCAGGATAGTCCAGGCTCTCTGCACATGGGGAATCGCCATCCAGAAGGCAATATGAGTATGACATCCGAACGCAGATATTCTGTTCACCACGCTGTTGTAGCATGTGGATGGGGGTGCCCATACTCTACGAAATGGGTTGTCTGTGCCTTGGTTTTGATGTGCCCCGGTTGAATGATGGACCCCCTTCTCCTTACATCTCTTGGGTGTGGGGCGCCCGCCGGCGCGCTCGACGATAAATATCACCGCCAACACTTACGACGACAAACACGACAATCTGGCTAACTGTTTTCACAGGAATGCATCACCCGTTAGTCGAGTACGCTACTCATTCGTTTGGCTGACCCTCGCTGTGAACATTCGGAGAGAAGGACATGGCGTGCCCCACAGACATGTCTTCGCCGAGGAGCTCGTCGGTCACGTCGGTGCCCGGGGCGTTGATGATGAGGCGCCAGCCCCCCGGGTGCCGGGCCGCGAACTCGGGCACGTCCAGGATAGCGTCGTCCACGAGCAACCAGCTCTGGCCGTTCAGTACCTTGCGAGCCAAGGCGAAGGGAGGAAGGGCGATCGAACCGAATGTTCGCACCGAGTATTTCAACGGACTAGGGAAGGCAGCCCCCTAATCCATTTCCGCCCCTTCAGAGTCCAGAACAATTCGGTTGCTTGCGTAAGGTAGAAGAAGTATCTACCCAAACAACGATCCCCACCTTTTCGTTGAACTCCGCGAGACTGTATATGGGTAAGTCCTCGTTTCTGGGCACAAGCCTCTGATATTGCAGTGCTCCGTTGTCATCGGCATCACCCTCGCCGTCTTGCCGCTCAATGATGATCTCCACACACCGTGCCGATGATGAATTACATCGTTACCAACATGAGAGGCGGACACGACAAAGTACATTTTTCTCAGTCGTGATAATAATCATGTTTCACCATTTCTTAGTCCTGGGCAATTGGAACGCCACCCTTGAGTACAGCCAGGTGCTGGGGGCCATCGTGCTGCCTACGGTGGTAGCAACGTTTTCCCCTCATTTAAGGCCTCCCTCCGCCCCCCCGATGTTTGCCATCGGGGTTGGGTTTTCGTCACTTGGCAACGACATTGGGACCCCCCCCCCCCCCCCCCCCCT